ACTTTACTCCTTTAAGGCATTTTTTGTAGTAATTTTTTCAGAAAGCTATGCTCTTTCTTTGGGAAAAGAGCAGATTCTTTATACTTTCTCCTTTCAGGCTTCCTCTGTCTTCATGTTCTTAGTTGCTTTAGTTTATCAATACTTGCTCTTTGAAATTCAACAGCCTTATTTACAGAATTACTTTAATTTACTCTTTCCTTTAATTTAAAGTGAATCAATTATATTGGGAGCATAAAGAGTAAAATGCTTCCCAAATCAAAAAAGTTCTTTTTAACATGGTTTTAGTGGTGTTAAAAGTTCACTCAAAATGAAAACAAATTATTTTTAATTTTAGTGTAAGTTTATCCTATTTTGGCATTTTTGTAAGACAATACAACTGCTCTAGGCTGAAAGCCTCTGCATTTGGCTTTCATCATGGTATTCTCTGAAATGAATCCCTCTAAAATCAATGATGACTGAATCAATTAATGAAAGTCAGGATGACTAATTACCAAGAAAACTGCTATTCAAAGGGATCACAACTCAATCCCATAATTAACAAAACTCTAATTTGTTTATATCGGTTAGAAAATAAGACAGTATGGGTTTTCTTCTTACCAAAATCAACAGCTAATCATCAATGAGTTTTTGAGTACATTGTATACTTTACAGGAAGTACTGATTAAATGCATTTGTTAATTTTGAACTCTGACAGTACTAAGAGATATTTTACATATGCAAGCAGATTCTGCAACATTACTGTAATAGCAGTGCATAATACAGGTGGAATGTTTTAGTGAATTAATAATAATACAGGCAAAATATTTTTGGAGATTAAATTTCAATTTTCAATTTAATCTCTGCAGCAATTCTTTCATGCAGCTGAAGTTATAAGAGGTGGAAATTACTATTATATAGAAATCTGAGTGAAATAATTTCTGTCAGTCACATTTCAATAACTTCAAATGATTCCCTAATATTGATAATCTTATTGCCAGGCCAAAATTGTATTCATTTTAGGAACTGGGAACAGCCAGCTCCTGATTTTAAGAAATGATCAACCAACATTTGTGTCCTTGAAAACACCAGCAGAGAAAACAGGTCTGGAAGTAGAACAGAATATTTCCATAGCAAGCAGAAATAAAACAATAATGTAGTTAAATGACAGTGTGAAACAGAGAACCTGCAGAGCTGTTATAATTTTTCCAGCCTCATGTCAAGTTTGGAATGGAATGAAGGGATATTTAGGATAAAATATATCCCCATGAAAAAAGGTTTCTTCATTTGGCCACATATGATCATTTGTGCACACTGAACATTATGTAGAAACTAAATTAGGAAGCCATCACATGGTGCATAAATTAGAGACAGTCTTATAAGTCTTAAATGTTCAAGTCTGTTGCATGTTTTATAAAGCAAGGGCCTTGTATAATAAATCTTAAATTAGAAAACTACAAAGGAATTCTTTATAAATTTCCTAGTCATTCCATTGCTTAAATTAGTTCTGAAGCAAAGACATTTCAAACTCTGATAGTGCAATCATACTATTAAAGGTAAGGGAATGTCACTGTGTTGCTTCTGAACTTTACCTTGTGACAAAATGGTGATAAAATTCCTCCCAGAACTTCTGTGGAAAGTATTCTAGGCAACAGTCCCATAGTTCATCTATGTTTAATAAAATTATTAAGCATATTTTGAAAATCTCTGTGTAATAAAGAATAAGACCTAGGAAATGGATGCGACTTGACAGTTGGCATTATTTTTTCATACCAAATTAAAGTCTTAAGCAAGGTAAAAGTAGGACCCAAATATCCCTTTCTGGCTCACATGCTGCACTTTGTAGGTTAAGTACATCACTCATTCAAAATGAGAAAGAACAGGTATCTGGCTGGCAGACTGCAATGAAAATGCACCATAAATTAAAGAAACCAGGTAATAACCTCATGCAATCCCATATTTTTGTTTAAGTAATTAAAAAATATTATCCTTTTAATAAAGAAGTCTTCCTCTCTAAATTATCTAGCTGAGAAAATTCCAAACTCATTTTCCTCAGTCCCTTTTATCTCTCTGTGTGCTCTCAACCAGATGTTACCACTGCCATTTGACCAACACTATTACTTATAACAGACACCAGTTTGGTTTCTAGTCCCATAATGAAGCATCTGCACTCTTTCTCATCCAAAAAGACTATAAGCAGATTTCTAATCTGAATGCCATCCAGTGATGGATGACATTCCTCTTTTTTTCCTCTTGGAAACAACTATCCAATCTTTTTTCAGCTTGGTTTTCAAAGACCGCCATGTTTTCCTAAAGAAGTCATTATTAATTTCAAGTATCATTTGTTTAAAGAAACAGTGAAAAAGGCTAAAAGTTTGCAACCAAGTCTTTCTGCAGCAAATGAGTCATTAACTTCATGAACATCAATAAGGAAAGTCTTGTTTTTAATGGTTTTTCATACTACAGCTGTTTCATTCACTGCTCTGTGTCTACAGCCTGGATGGTTTCTTTAAATGCTTCCTCCAGGACTTCTACAAAATGCAGATAAAGTCAGTGAGCATTGCTATTACCTTTTATGTCTGCAGCTAAGATAATGCTTGGACATCTGCTTAATAAGCAGACTGAAGCTCTGCTGGTACCATACCACTCAGCAGCTCACCTAGTCCCAGCACTCAATAATCCTGCATACATATCACCAGTTCAATCACATCCCTGGGCAGCTCTCCAAATCTCCCACCAGACAGCCATTAGCTCACCTGTGTTGCTTGATGGGCTGGGTTCCTCTGTCAGGACACAAGGCCTCTGGGAAAGACTGAGGGCCTGAAAAACTAGACTCCATAACTTTGTGCAGAATAGGCCCCGGATGCCTATCTGGTTTTGAATACTGTAGCAGAGAGAATAAAATTAATTAATACTCAAAAGATAAAGTACATTGTTGATGCTTTTCAATCAGAATTCATATTGGAGTGGGACAAGAAGTGCTCTAATGCATTTCTAAATCAAAATTAGGCATCTCAAGTAATACATTCATTCAGTATTGTTTACAAAGCTGAAAGCACCGGTACTCATTATTCCCATTACATTCTTCACATCAAAATGCTGGTATCTGCATTAGTAGCAAAATTATGGACTCATCTGCCCATAATGATACGGAACACTGATCCCTCTGACTAAAAGGCTGTTTTTGTAGCTGTCCATGCAGAGACTTAGATCACAAAACACATCTCAGAGGACAAGTCAGCAACTTCTTGGGTCCTTCGGTGACTTCTAACACTGCATTCATCAGCATGTACAGCTATGAAAACCTAACTGAAACAGCATTTGTGTCATCAGATAAGCAAGAAAAATATTTGAATCGTATCTGCAGAGCCAGATATCTCTTCTGAACAAGTCTGAACCTTTTGACCTGGGAGTATCTGCACTAGTAAAAACAGTGTAAACATAATTCTTCTTGTGACAGGTGTAGGCGTAGGGCAGTCTCTGGGAACATAGTGAGACACAAAGGTCTGTAAAACAGACACCAGACATGAGCAAGAGCAGATTTTTTTGTTTCTTCGTGCTTTGTGATTCAACTGGAATTTCAGGGGGGAAAAAATTCTCTGATCCTGAATAGAGCCAGAAAATCCAAGCACAGAAAAAGCTGCACTTAGGCTTGTAAGTAGAATTGGTGTTGTTAGTGGTTCCTGGGCAATATCTCAGAGATACAAGAGGTTAACCCACATTTCCACTCAGGTATGAAGAATACAGCACTTTGCAGATTTTTTTACATTATGTTACAAGGGCTTGCACTAAAACTAATGAGTCTATTTTCCTTTCTGTATTGAGTTTGTATTTTTAGCACTAGACACCCAGATATCCATGTTATCTTAACAATAAATTGGTATTGTGGAAGCCTTTACATGATTACATATTTTAGAAAGAAAATAAAAATCAAAATAATAAGAGAAAAAAATCAGAGAGGTAAAAAATGTCGTGCTATCATAAAACAGCAGAAAAATTAATGGAGAAGACAGTAAGAATTCTTTCAAAACACAGTTATTCATAATTATTGGTTTTGTCTAGCAAAAGACCAGTAACTCCTTAAAAATACAGAATTATTTTCTGATTCTCACTCATTCTTCTCTATACTTCCACAGACTTCACCTAGATCAAAAAGATCATACAAAATTATTCTCTTTTTAAAACGGGTTACATGTAATTTTAGTCCATCTACTCAGACATCTTATGACCAATTTCTCTAGATAAAATAACAGATCTTCAACATTTTCTCCAATGTTCTTCTCCCTTTTTGTTGAGCGAAATATCCACATAAACAGGGATAAAATCACTGTTTACATACTTCTGAAGGCAAAGCTATGAGTGGCAATATGCAAAGTGTTGCTGCACACTTGAAGTAAACACAACTGAAATAATAAGAAGAAACATATTTCACTCTCATTTCTTTCAGTTATCATGATCTTAGTTGTCACTTGTAAATGTTGTAGATAAAATATTCAGACAGAAGTATGAATTTTAAGGTACTCATGTCTGTGATGGTTTTAAACTTTAATAGTTATCCTGCCAACTGCAGAAATGAAACTGGCTTTGATTTCTGACCTGAATAAATCAGTTTGAGCTATGTAAAGACTGGGCTGCTACTGTCAAGAAGCTATTTCTGTCCTTTTTTTGGGTTTGGTCATGATACTAAATTAAAGGTCTGAATGGTTTATATGACCACGAGTATTAGTGAATCATGAAATTAGGGATAAGCTGCACATTTTGCTACATCCATGTTTAAGGATGTGGGCTGGAGCAATGGTATACAGAGTATTTCCTCATCACAACTGAGGAAAACCAGGACCATGGAAGCTGCTTGGATGCCAACTAGCAAACTGTACAGAAGATCCAACAGCCAGCACCACTCAGGCACAGCCTGCAAAGGGTATTTTTTCCCCTACCCTAACATTTATGCCATTTTCAGATACACCACTTATTATACAATTAACATAATAGTCATAACATTCATTACAATGAAAATGTGAATCACAGTTTAAATTGCGGGTGTGAATATACAGAGAATTTGAACAATGTAATTGAACATATTTGGATCTATCACATTATTCATACATTTTAACAGGTTTAAACACAGTTGGGTTTATTATCTTTTAGCTTAATTATAAGTGCCACATCCCTTCTCTATGATCATCTCTGGAGAAAAAGACCTTCAGATTTTTATGAAGAATTTGCAGCAGTATCATTTGGTGCCCCCAGAAATACAGGGTGGGATTGCTCCCCAGCCATATCCCTGCAGAGCTCATCCTGCTGCTTCCATAGCTCAGTTCTCATGTGGGCTGAGCTCTGTAGAGGCTTCTGACTGTTGTGAGCTGCTGAATACTCAGCCATGATAGAGAATAAACTGTGAACCACTTTCAAGGCACTGTTCCAGTAGGTTTAAAGCATCACCGAGAGCTTATCTATACTATTTTGGGTTTTTTAATGTTTTTGCTATCTTCTTGCTTAATTATCTGTGGTTGTTTGAGCAATTACTGAAAAATGCTGATGCATAAGGCTAAATAAATAATGATAGCTTTAAAAAAATAGTTTGCAGTTTTCCATGGTTTCATAAAGAAAATCATCTGTTAGGGATAATTACTCAACTCTTTGACAATAAAATTCCACCCTCTGCTAGCTAACCCTAAGTGAATCTGCAAAGGCAGCCTGAGCCAGGAGACAAGAAATCAGCCTCTGCCACTGACCTACTGTATTACTGTGAGCATGTAATTCCTCTGCTCCATTCCCTACATTCCTTGTTCTAAAATATAGGATTTGTGGATAACATATGCCACCCAAATGTTACAGAATACCTTGACACTGTTGTCCTAGTGTTATGCAAACCAAAACACCCATCCCTCCCTCTGGCTTTTCTTAGCTCTTCCCCCTGAACGATTTTCCCAAAATAGTAGTAATAAAAGGTCCAGAAATTCATGTGGCATTGGAAGAGGGGTGATGTGGGGATCCCATTTCAGAAAGGACTGAGAAGGCAGAGGGGTTAGCTTTCAATTACATTCAGAAAGGACACCTCAAGGAGGAAAAGAGCCAGTGATTTTTCTGGATGTGCTGACCTTGCACAAAACCCATCAGGTGGTACATTTAACGTCCTTACAGCTGTTCCCATATGCTCTGTATGTTTTGTTGCCAACACTAGCTGTAGACAGAAGACAGTAAATTCAGGTTTGCCTGTTCTAGCTGTTCTTCCTAAGCAGTCATGTGATAGAGAAATGGGAAATTTGCTTTTAATCTTAGCTGATAAATCACATTGTAACTCAGGTAAAACCACAGAGTAATTCTTTAAAATATTTAAGTGTATCTGTCGCTCAACATATATTAATTGCATTTCTATCACAGTGACTAAAAAGAACTTATTTCCTACTACTATCAACAAAAGGCAACAAGACACAAAAAGCAGTTTTTCCTCTCATTATAAGAATATCAGAAACCTGGAGCTTGTGATTGCAAGCTATTAGAAACAAGTGTAGCAAAAAGTGAAACCACACAACACAGCATGAAGAGCATATTAACCACCTCAGAGGGAAAGTGATGGGGAATTAATAGATCCACTAGGTACCATGGGAGAATGTATTGAAAACCACAGAGGTGAGAAAGGCCACTTTAAACAGCCATGACAATTCTCAGAGTCACTAAAGGAATGACAAGGTTTCAGCTGCCTCTTCCTGCTCCCCCATCCCTGACATATTTTTCAATGAGAATTCAAAGAAACCCTCTAGTCAAGGTGGAAAAAGGAAGTAGCAATCAGGAGCCACCTCACCTCCTCCCACCCCATGCAGGGTGTGTGAGGGTGCACAGAGCTCTTGCCTCTCTAAGGAGGCAGCTGAGAAGCACAATTTCCTTCCTTTTGCCTATGAAGACATTGAGCTGTTTGTTGCTGTCCTGTGGAGTAGAGTCTTTGAATATCTCCTGAAGAGAGTATAATCTCTCTGGGAAGGAGTACATAATACTTGGAAGTCCTAGGTTTCATGCATTAAGTGAAATAAATCTGAATCTCCTGTGTACCTCAAAGATCCTACATATAAAAACTGGCACATCTATCCTGGCTGAAGAATTATAGCAAGATTACCAGTGCATTAGTCTCTAAATCCAAAAGGCTAGAAAACCCAACAAGAAAGACTTAGCAAGAAATTGTGTTGCTGCCAGAATATTGGGGAAAAGCACTGGGCTTGAAGGAGATTCAGGAAATACCAGGAGCTGTGTTCAAACAGTTACTTATGAATCCTGCTTACAGTATACAGGGTTTTTTTAAATCTAATTTGTATCTCTAATAAAATAATGACATGGATACCAAGGGAAGTGCTCACAGCAGGTGAGCACAATCACCAGTGATAAGCAGCAGGATTTCAGAGAGAACACAGCTGTCCTGACAAAATCCAACCCTTTATTTCACTTTTCAGAATCACAACTGAGCAGAGGAAGGGAATGGAGATGTAATGCATTTGAGTGTGGGAAGAAAAAATACTTCACTTAGATTGGTCAAGCCCTTTACAGCCACAAACCACCTGAAACACTATACCCTGGGTCTTGGGAAATAAGTTAAACTTCTTTCTAGAACAACACAGCGTTTGGATAGATAGATCCTTTACTAAATATAGCAACCTCTGAGTCAAAAGGTGATAGCTCTTTCAGAATAGCCATCAAGAATAAGGAACCTTATGCAACTATTCTTAGGTCTACACAAAAATATTCTTCTCTATAGAAGAAGAAAGAGCTGGGTGCAAAACCTGAAAGCACCATCAGATCTATTTAACATAGGCAAGAGAAAAATATAGGAGAACCTTCTAGCGAAAGACAGAAAGGTGACATAAACTGGAAAACTGTCTTGGTTGTAAGAGGAGCATGTGGAGTGGGAAAAGAAACAGCTTCCAGGATTACATAAACCAAAATGCCAGACTGGAAGAGTATTTTCCAGAAAATAACTTCCTTAATTGACTGAAGTTTATTTAGTAGCTCCTGGAAATGAAGAGAACTAAGATTTTGCCCCAGACCTATGTGATGGCAGTTGCAGATGTGAATGGCAGAGGGATCACATTCAGGCTGCAACTGGCACAAGGTTGGCAGAGCTGTGCAAGAGCTCCCTGCCCTGCGTTGCTGCTTGGTTCCCTTCCCACCCAGCAGATACACCAGGGGCAGATCTCTGGTCTCTGATGGGGAGTCACTCAGCCATTCCTGTGAAATTCCTTTTCAAAGTTCCTTTTCTGCTGCCTCACCATACCCCTACCCTTTTCTTCCCCTCCAATCTGTCAAGTCAAGGTTGGCAGAGCTGTGCAAGAGCTCCCTGCCCTGCGTTGCTGCTTGGTTCCCTTCCCACCCAGCAGATACACCAGGGGCAGATCTCTGGTCTCTGATGGGGAGTCACTCAGCCATTCCTGTGAAATTCCTTTTCAAAGTTCCTTTTCTGCTGCCTCACCATACCCCTACCCTTTTCTTCCCCTCCAATCTGTCAAGTAAATATTTC